CACCTAAGGAATGTTCATATGTGTATTTGCTTCCGAAACCTCCTTCGGGAAGGTTGGAGCTTCCGCAACGTCCCTGTTCCAAGTGGAATGGGTACGTTTTCCCAGTGTTATCCAGTCTTACTGATTGGGTAGTGCCATAGCAAGCAGGAGCTGGTCCTCTTGTGGTAAGCCCTGGCCTATTCCAAAAAGTAGGGGTGCAGGTGGCTTCCACGGGACACTGGAAGGGGCAGTACCTGTGGCCCTTTGTTAGGGATCCCAATTCGTCGGTAATCCGACGTGACATTGGCCGTTCCGTCCTTCAGGGAACGAGGGTTACCATACATAACCGAGACATTTTTGCAATTATGCCAGATTATTAAAGGTGACCTATTATGCCCTTTTTTACAATATGTAAAATAAGTCTCTGATGTCCCCAGAGTGTGTATGTGAAGTTTTAGCTCAAAATATTCCACAGATCATTTTTTATAGCTTGTTAAAACTGCCACTTTTAGGGAATGAGCCGATTTAATGGGATATTTCAAAAGAGGTAAATATATTTTCAGGGTTGCACAAACTTATGCCTAAGCTACATTTGTTCATCATTTCATAACAGTTTATAATATTTTTATTAGTTTGCAGTGCACATTTTTGTTCACACAAACTTTTGTGGAGCCGTTGTTGTGCCAAATTCTGACCCCCTGCCAGATTATTACCCCCCTAGTATTGACAGAGGGTCAAAATGGGCACAACACTATCACTGACTGAATGATTGCATTCTTTGTGTAATGCTGGGATAAAGTATAGCAAACCTCAGTTAGCTGTATACATTGTTTTCAGTTCGATGAGCTCTTCATTTGTAGTTTACAAATGAAGATTATCACAAGGTTTAAGGTTCCATTTGCCAGTGAAACCAAAAATCCCAGAACACCTGGATGATTGCATCTCCACTTATTTACAATAGTAGCATAGATACATGTGCACCAACTACCATTTCAATTATTTATTGCTATGCTCTTCTGTTACCTTTTAAGTTTTAAAACTGCCATCCTCTGGCAATGAATGAAATAACATCCACCACCATATCAGTGGCCTAATAAACATTTTGCAACCTACACTGATGTTGTTCTGTCATCTCTTCTTTGACCATGTGTTGCACTGTGTACCTGGATGATACACAATGATGATTTATTGATACAAATGCATGATCTATTTTGATGCACAACAAACACTCATTCAATATTATTTATAAGTCATAAAGTTTCATAAACATCTTAATTTGGCTTTAATTAGAGGCATTTTTTATAAAATTAAAGTGGAATAAAGATTGTATCACGGTCTTGATTAGCTTTTGCCAGAGGTGGGGGACTCGAATCACATGACAAATTTTAGGACTTGAGACTTGCTTGACAAATATTCATAAAAGACTTGACTTGACTTTGACTTGATATTTATGACTTGAGACTTGACTCGGACTTGAGTTAAATGACTCGAAATAACTTGTCTTTCGTTCAATAAATGTGTGTTTGTTTTTGAGCGCTCCGCGA